AATAGTCCTGTGGAGGTTAGGAGTGGTTCTTGATGCTCACCTGAAGTCCCCAGATGCTGCTAGGAGGAGGGTGCCCCTCCTGGGCCCCCCATACTCCTCCGCTTGCCGCCGCTAGTGTACCCCTGCAGTCCAGCGTGCATCCGCCCCACGCACGCCCCACGCTGTGTACCTGGGCCCCGCCCATGGCCTCAATAAACTCTCTGCTTGGTGTGACACTGGCTGTTTCTAGGGGGTGCTGAGACGTGGGGCCAGGCGCCCAGGGGCTGCCCATGGTGGTGGGGACAGAGAGACTCCAGTGATGAGGTGGGGGATCATAGGAATCTCACCCTTTTAGTGCTTCCCGAAATTGTGCAGAAGGTCCCTGCAGTGCTGCTCTGGGGCCTCATTTGAGGTGCCATATCTAGAAGCACCCATGGGAATTCTCCCCAAATACTCTTTTGGCCACAGAGGAAGCTGAGGCTGCACAATGGTTATCCTTTCCATATGCACGGACTGAGGGCCAGCATGGCTCAGGTCAGTGTGTAGTTGGGGCATGAACTCCTTGAGAAACAATCTGGCTGGGCACAGTGGTTCATGCCTGTAACCCCAGCACTTTGGGAGGCTGAGGTGGGTGGATCACCTGAAGTCAGGAGTTTGAGACCAGCTTGGCCAACATGGTGAAACCCTCTCTCTACAAAAAATACAAAAATTAGCCAGGCGTCGTGGTGCACACCTGTCATCTCAGCTACTCAGCAGGCTGAGGCACAAGAATCGCTTGAACCTGGGGGGTGGAAGTTGCAGTGAGCTGAGATCGTGCCACTGCACTCCAGCTTGGGTGACAGAGGGAGACTCCATCTCAGAAAAAGAAAAAGAAAAACAATCTAGTTGGATCTTTATTTTTTTTTAAGACGGGGTTTCGCTGTTGTTACCCAGACTGGAGTGCAATGGCACGATCTCGGCTCACTGCAACCTCTGCCTTCTGGGTTCAAGCAATTCTCCTGCCTCAGCCTCCTGAGTAGCTGGGACTACAGGCGCACGCCACCATGCCCAGCTAATCTTGGTATTTTTAATAGAGACCTTGTTGACCAGGATGGTCTCAATCTCTTGACCTCGTGATCCACCCGCCTTGGCCTCCCAAAGTGCTGGGATTATAGGCGTGAGCCACCACACCCGGCCCTACTTGGATCTTAAATTTGGTATTTAAAAAATTCTCCAGAGAAAGCCAGAAGAAAATAGGTGACTTTTCCACTATGCCCTTAGATGGCTGTAGATGCCCTCCCAGGCCCTCCTGGGTGAGCCCACCTGCCAGGCAGGGATCAACATGGCCTGGGTCCCTCTGTCTGAGCCCAGAATTCGTGCAGCACCAGCAAGACAACCGGTGAAGGCTCCTTAGTGAGCTAAGGGAAGGTTACACAAACTTACAGATAAACATTAAAAAGTGTGGTCCGTAAAACACACATCTCTACGGAGCCAACAAACAGAAAAATAGCTGCAGTGTAGGGAAATGCATCATGATCCAGAGACTTAGCGCCCGTGCAGCGCACAGACCCGAGACTCCAGAGAGATCCATGATGTGACCAGTGGCACAACAGAAACACAGAACGTGTATGAGAAAACATTCCTATTAATTAAGATAAAGCTATAAAGAGGCAGATGGCCCCACTGGGTTTGAAACTTGTGCCCCCTGTGCTCGGGGATTCAGGCTGTGGCTCTGAGTCCCTTCTAGCTGCAGCCTGGAAACCGTTGCCACCCACCCATCTCCTCCCTCTGCTCTTCCACTCAGGTGAGAATTCTCCAAGCCCTGCCCTCCGGCACCCCCGTCCCCGCCCCTGCCCGGCCTGGCCTCGCCCCGCAACATGTCTCCAGGTCCCGTGGTTAACCTTTCCCTCCAGCCGGGCCCTTCCAACGGCTGTTGACATGCTCGTGAGTTCTTCACCTCTCTGTCTGCCACCTCTCTGCAGTTCTCCAATCTCAGGGTCTCCTCTGAGCTTGGCCGCCCTCCAGGCCTCATTCCGGGCTTGGTGGTCCCTGGGGTCTCCCTCACTGGCTTCATCCCTCCCACAGATTCGAGGGTGTCTGTGCTCAGGGCCCTGGCAGCTGCCCCCTGTGCAGACCACTGGCCACTCCCAGCTGATCTCCAGGGGCACTTCCTCAGCTGCTCACTGGGGTGGTGCTCTGCAGAATGAGCTGTGAGGGCCACTGTGGCTGCCCACAGGGCACCACTCACAGTCACTTCAGACTCACAGGAGCCCTTGCCCACCCCTGCATTCATGTATGCTCTGTTTTATGGTCTTTCCCAGTCAGCTGAGCTGCAGGCCCTGGTCACTCCCGACTCCTCCCTCCTGTCACCCTAACCCTCACCCGTCACCTTTACGTCTGCCCCTGGCTCCATTTCCCCCTCGTCTGCCTGGACCAAATCACCCTGAGTTTCCTCCTGGATCTTCGTGCACAAACAGCCTGCTCCATCCGCCGCTGCCTCACTGCACCTGCAAATCCACCTGCACCCACACCCAGGCCAGGGTTTTTAAACAGAGCCGAAGCAGATCCCTCTCTCTGGTCAGCTCCAAAGCAGGTGCCTGTTGAACCTCAGCATGACCTGCCCCAACCCCTGCGTCCACTTCTGCTCTGGGAGCCTCTGGGTTCCTGGGCGCACCTGCTGCCCTTTCCTGTTTGTTTCTGATGGCTGTTGACATGCTCGTGAGTTCTTCACCTCTGGAAGGTTCTTCACCCTTCGTGAGGGGTGACCTCCTGTCCTTCTGGGCTCTCCCGGGCTCTGGCCTTGGGCTTTCCGAGGACTCGCTCCTGGTTGCTCCCCTGGCTGCTCCGCTGAGCTGCTAACCTTAGGTCCTCCCAGGACCTGGCAGAACACCTGGCTCACTGGCAGGAGGCACTGCGAGTTGCCTCCCGCTTCTGCCAATCTAGGCCAAGGATGGCATCCTAAATAAAACGCGTTCTACAGAAAAGTGTTTATTGCATTCTTGTTTGAAATAATGTAAGCATAAAGATAATCTGAATATTGACCAATAGGGTCAATTGATTAAGGTATATTTACCTATTGAAATACTGACCAGATGTAAAAAGAAGCGTGCTTGCTGTTGGGGCGTGATGGCTCACGCCTGTAATCCCAGCACTTTGGGAGGCCGAGGCAGGCGGATCACAAGGCCAAGAGATGGAGACCATTCTGGCCAACATGGTGAAACACGGTCTCTACTAAAATACAAAAAATTAGCCAGGGGTGGTGGCGGGCACCTGTAGTCCCATCTACCTGGGAGGCTGATGCAGGAGAATTGCTTGAAACTGGAGGCAGAGGTTGCAGTGAGCTGAGATCGTGCCGCTGCACTCCAGCCTGGTGACAGAAGGAGACTCTGTCTCAAAAAAAAAAAAAAAGTTGACTTGCCAACATTTGTAATTATACTGAAAGTATCTGTTATGCTATTAAACAAAAATAAATTGCCAGGCACAGCTGCTCATGCTACTACGTCATCTCAGCACTTTGCTAGGCCGAGGCTGGCCGATCCTTTGAGTTCAGGAGTTCAAGACCAGCCTGAGGAACACAGCGAAACTCCCATCTCTACAAAAACAAACAAACAAAAAAACAAAACAAAAAAATTATCTAGGTATGGTGGCACACACCTGTGATCCCAGCTACTTGGGAGGCTGAGGTAGCAGGATAGCTTGAGTCCAGGAGGTTCATGGTGCAGTGAGCTGCGATCCTGCCACTGCACTCCAGCTGGGAAGAGCAAGACCCTGTCTTAACAACAAAAAGAAAGAAGGAAAAGTATGAGAGAGAAAAGGAAAGGAAAGGAAAAAGAAAGAAAATAGGCAGGATCGTACTTAGTATGTGAGAAACTATGTGTTAAAAAATGCTGAAAGGAAACAAAAAACGTTAAGTCGTTTTTGCTGAAGTTGAGCTGAGGGTGTTTCTCATCCCTTAATTCATGCAGCAAGTAAGTCTTAATTTTTCCAAGTATTATTTGCGGCTTATTAGAGACCTCCAAATGCAAATAGAAATATCCACAGTGAAAAGAACAAGAAAAAAGTTAAGATAAATTAATCAAACTCAAACAAAAAAGTTATTTGGTCTCAAGAAAAATGCCACACCCCCCCAAAAAAAAAGAAAAATGCCACCCCATAAGGCTATCATAAGGGCAGTGCTTGGGTGAGTTATTATCTATATAAATGCTGTAGTAGGATTTCTCTCTTTATTCTGAAGAGATTAACTTTCCCTATAAAGAGTAAACGTCATTATAGGCATTTTGGAGACTGCAGACAATAGAAGAAAGGCTAAAATCAACTGTATTTTAGACCCAGAGATGACTATTCCTAATATTTTGGTGTATTTTTTCCATTCTCCCTTTTACATGAGGGTTGAAGGCAGAGGGAGGTTAGGGGAATCAAGGATTTAAGGCAAAAGATAAAAGCAAAATAGCAGAGGTTGTTGCAGGCATACCCTGGAGATTTTGCAGGTTTGCTTCTAGACCGCCCCAATAAAACTGATTGCAATAAAATGAGCCACACACATTTTCTGTTTCCCAGTGTATATAAAAGTTATGGCCGGGTGCAGTGGCTCATGCCTGTAATCCCAGAACTTTGGGAGGCTGAGGTGGGCGGATCACCTGAGGTCAGGAGTTTGAGACTAGACTGGCCAACATGGTGAAACCCCGTCACTACTAAAAATACAAAAATTAGCTGGGTGTGGTGGTGGGCCCCTGTAATCCTAGCTACTCTGGAGACTGAGGCGAGATAATTGCTTGAATCAGGGAGGCAGAGGTTGCAGTGAGGCAAGCAGCTAATTTGTGTATTTTTAGTAGAGATGGGGTTTCACCATGTTGGCCAGGATGGTCTGGATCTCTTGACCTTGTGATCTGCCTGCCTCAGCCTCCCAAAGTGCTGGGATTACAGGCTTGAGCCACCGCGCCCAGCCTCAGAGGGAAATTTAAACATTCTTCTGTTGAAACGTTCCCTGGGCTCCCCCTTCTGGTCACATGGGGGACAAGTGAGCACACGGGCAAGGAGGGGCCACAGGGCGGCGGGGGAGAAGGGTTTCCCTGCAGGAGCCGCCCCTCATCCTGTCATTCACACAGTCGCTTGGGCTCCGGATATCTCCTCTTCCTTCCTAATGCACCTGAGGGGAAGCCACAGAATCAACTTGTTTGTTTGCTCTGTACATTCCAAAACACACTTAGCCCCTTCGAGAGGACACTGGGCTCCCCGAGGAAGCTGCTCTGTGGGAATGGATGACTGCCAGCCTGGTGAGTGGATTATCTTAGGCTCACAGGAAAGGGGCTGTTTTGTAAATCACCAGTGGCAGTGAAGAAAGGGAAGTGCAGGGACATTGTGGCAAGCTTTTGGGGCCACAGTAACAGCATGTCAGCACAAATACGCATGCATATGCAAGCTTGTGTGCACGTGAGTGCATGTGCATGTGTGTGTGACTGTGCATGTGTGAGTGCATAGTTTGTGTGCACGTGAGTGCCTGCACATGAGTGTGCATGTGTGTGTGACTGTGCATGTGTGAGTGCATAGTTTGTGTGCACGTGAGTGCCTGCACATGAGTGAGTGCCTGTGCATGTGTGCGTGACTGTGCATGTGTGAGTGCCATAGTTTGTGTGCACGTGAGTGCCTGCACATGAGTGAGTGCCTGTGCATGTGTGTGTGACTGTGCATGTGTGAGTGCATAGTTTGTGTGCACGTGAGTGTCTGCACATGAGTGAGTGCCTGTGCATGTGTGCGTGACTGTGCATGTGTGAGTGCATAGTTTGTGTGCACGTGAGTGCCTGCATATGAGTGAGTGCCTGTGTATGTGTGCGTGACTGTGCATGTGTGAGTGCCATAGTTTGTGTGCACGTGAGTGCCTGCACATGAGTGAGTGCCTGTGCATGTGTGCGTGACTGTGCATGTGTGAGTGCCATAGTTTGTGTGCACGTGAGTGCCTGCACATGAGTGCCTGTGCATGTGTGCGTGACTGTGCATGTGTGAGTGCAGTTTGTGTGCACGTGAGTGTCTGCACATGAGTGCCTGTGCATGTGTGTGTGACTGTGCATGTGTGAGTGCCATAGTTTGTGTGCACGTGAGTGCCTGCACATGAGTGAGTGCCTGTGCATGTGTGTGTGACTGTGCATGTGTGAGTGCATAGTTTGTGTGCACGTGAGTGCCTGCACATGTGTGTGAGTGCCTGTGTGTGTGAGTATGGGTATTTCTGTTTGCCTACATGTGTGCACACACATAAGTGTGCATGCCTGTGTGAGGAGGGTGCATCCAGCTAAAATAGCTTAATGATAAAAAACAAGCATTTCTTCACACAAACAAATCAGAGCAAAACCGAAAGAGGAATGGGGGAGTGGGAAAATCTGCTTCTCTTTCCAACGTTGGGTGCAGAGTGCATTTGAACACCCCTCAGAGCTCAGGCAATGGGAGGCTCATTTATCTTTCCACCCCCACTTCAAGGTTATGTGCTTGTAAAACCAGGTACCCTTCCTTTGTAGCATTTATCATGGTTAGATTGTTACTGAAATAGAAAATACATAGGCCAAACGCAGTTGCTCACACCTGTATTCCCAGCACTTTGGGAGGCCAAGGTGGGTGAATCATGAGGTCAGGAGTTCGAGACCAGCCTGGCCAACGTGATGAAACCCCATCTCTACTAAAAATACAAACAAATTAGCCGGGCATGGTGGTGAGTGCCTGTAATCCCAGAACTCGGAGGCTGAGGCAGGAGAGTTGCTTGAACCTGGGAAGTGAAGGTTGCAGTGAGCCGAGATTGCGCGACTGCATCCAGCCTGGGTGACGGAGTGAGACTCCATCTCTGCCTCAAAAAAAAAGAAAGAAAATACACTATGACATCATAAAGTGTGCACATCTTATGTGTGTGACTTGACTGCTTGATTCATATGCATGCATCATGTAATGCCCTCTCAAGATCTGGAACATTTACAGTACCCCCAGGTTCTCTGGTGTCCCTGGTCAGGCAATTCCACACACCCTATCCTTCCAGAGGTAGTGACTTCTATCACACTGAAATCTCAGGTGCATCTGACATCCTGGGATTAAGCCGATCTCCTTTGCTAGTCTGTAAGCATGGTGAGTGTGGGGCGGGTCTCCTCTGAGAATGCCATGCCCCAGCATTGCAGGGTGCTGGTGACTGGATTAACCCAGTTATGCACAGTGCACACTACCCAAGTGAGAGAATGCCACGCCCCAGCACTGCAGGGTGCTGGTGACTGGATTAACCCAGTTATGCACAGTGCACACTACCCAAGTGAGAGAATGCCACGCCCCAGCACTGCAGGGTGCTGGTGACTGGATTAACCCAGTTATGCACAGTGCACACTACCCAAGTGAGAGAATGCCACGCCCCAGCACTGCAGGGTGCTGGTGACTGGATTAACCCAGTTATGCACAGTGCACACTACCCAAGTGAGAGAATGCCACGCCCCAGCACTGCAGGGTGCTGGTGACTGGATTAACCCAGTTATGCGCAGTGCACACTACCCAAGTGAGAGAATGCCACGCCCCAGCACTGCAGGGTGCTGGTGACTGGATTAACCCAGTTATGCACAGTGCACACTACCCAAGTGAGAGAATGCCACGCCCCAGCACTGCAGGGTGCTGGTGACTGGATTAACCCAGTTATGCACAGTGCACACTACCCAAGTGAGAGAATGCCACGCCCCAGCACTGCAGGGTGCTGGTGACTGGATTAACCCAGTTATGCACAGTGCACACTACCCAAGTGAGAGAATGCCACGCCCCAGCACTGCAGGGTGCTGGTGACTGGATTAGCCCAGTTATGCACAGTGCACACTACCCAAGTGAGAGAATGCCACGCCCCAGCACTGCAGGGTGCTGGTGACTGGATTAACCCAGTTATGCACAGTGCACACTACCCAAGTGATAGAATGCCACGCCCCAGCACTGCAGGGTGCTGGTGACTGGATTAACCCAGTTATGCGCAGTGCACACTACCCAAGTGAGAGAATGCCACGCCCCAGCACTGCAGGGTGCTGGTGACTGGATTAACCCAGTTATGCGCGGTGCACACTACCCAAGTGAGAGGAAGTGGAGCAGCAGAGCTGGAGGGGGTCCCTGACGACTGTGCTTGGGTGCCAGTATTCATTTAGTTCTTGCTAGGGAGTTTGGTCTTTCCATGTGATAATGGGATCATGAACCCAGTTCAGTTCCTCTCTGCCCTCACTGTGAATCATAGCGGCTTCTGGGGTCAATGCCACCACTCGGACCACAAGTACATGAGGACCCTCCTTAAGCCAGCATCAGGGGCTGCTGGGCACCCCAAGGAAACCACCACTCTATGGGGGTGACTCCAAGACAGCAGATTTTGGGTGTGGTCAATGCAGCCCTCAAGCCAGATGAAAAGTGATGGAACAGTTGTACGAAGGGTCCCCAGCGCAGTCTGACACCACAGGCTCACACAGGCAGATGAGACCGCCACACATTCCAGCAAGGCTTTTGGCTGCAAAAAACAGAACCCTCACGAGCAGTGGCTTCAACAGGCAGGGTTTATTTTCCTGCACTTGGAGCTCTCCAGGTAGGCAGCTGGAGATGCTGCCCAGTGTCCAGTCAGGGCCTGTGGCTGCTTCAGCAAGGTCCTCACCCCCAGGGCTGCCCCAGTCTTTCACTACCAGGACTCCTGGTCACAGGCTACTCCTGAACCAATCACTGGATTGACTGGCTCAGTCTGGTCACTGCCCTCCTGGGACATAAAGAGGCTACAACTTCAAGATCAAGGGGCCTTTGCCCAGCACTGAAAAATGTGGGCGCCCATAAGGAAGGAGGTGGCCGTTTGGTGGGCAATGAATGGCGTTTGCCACGGGGAGGTGTCTGAACACTGGATGGTGCTCCTCTCAGTTGGCCAACACTGAGGGAGCACCTGCTGTGTGACTGGCCATCTGGGCACACACATGGGCCTGGTGTCAATGTGTCATGCCATGCAGACACAGGCAAGTACTCAGTCCCTCCCTGCAGAGGAGGCCAACAATGGAGGCAGAGCATTGCTGTTGGAAGGAACAGCCAGGCCGGCCTGCTAAGAGTCGGGGGGACAGGGGCAGGGGTGGAGGCCTCAAGGGCAAACTGGATCACTGTAAGGAGTTTGGATTTTGAGTATGAAAAGCCTGTGGAATTTTGAGCAGGAATAGATGCTCAAACCCAACCTCATGTTTTATTTACTTATTTACAGGCCGGGTCTCACTCTGTCTCCAAGGCTGGAGTAAAATGGTACGATTACAGCTCACCATAGCCTCGACCTACTGGGCTCAAGTGATCCTCCCCTCTCAGCCTCCCAAATTTCTAGGACAACTGCCACCATGCCTGGCTAATTAAACAGATATTGTTGGCTGGGTATGGTGGCTCATGACTTAATCCCAGCACTTTGGGAAGCTGAGGTAGATGGATCTCCTGAGGTCAGGAGTTTGAGACCAGCCTGGCCAACATGGTAAAATCCTGTATCTACTAAATAAAAAAAAAAATTAGGTGGGTGTGGTGGCACACACCTGTAGTCCCAGCTACGCAGGAGGCTGAGGCAAGACAATTGCTGGAATCCAGGAGGCAGAGGTTGCAGTGAGCCAACATCACACCATTGTACTCCAGCTTGGGTGACAGAGTGAGACTCCGTCTCAAAAAACAAAAAAATTATTTTAGAGCTGGGTTCTCACTACGTTGCCCAGGCTGGTCTGAATTCTTGGTCTCAGGCAATCCTTTCACCTCAGCCCCACAAAGCCCTGGGATTACAGGAGTGAGTCACCACATCCAGCCTAACAGATGGTGTTTTTTTTTTGAGACCGAGTTTCACTCTTGTCCAGGCTTGAGTGCAGTGGTGCGAACTTGGCTCACCACAACCTCTGCCTCCTGGATTCAAGTGATTCTCTGCCTCAGTCTCCTGAATAGCTGGGATTACAGGCATGCACCACCATACCCAGCTAATTTTGTATATTTAGTAAAGACAGGGTTTCTCCATGTTGGTCAGGCTGGTCTTAAACTCCTGACATCAGGTGATCCACCCGCCTCAGCCTCCCAGAGTGCTGGGATTACAAGCATGAGACACCACATCCGGCCAACAGATGTTTGTAAGAGATCACTTTATCTGCTGGGTGGAGAATCATTTGTTGTGGGTCAGAAGGTGAAGGCAGGAGACAGAAGGTGAGCACAGGTGAAAGGCAGAGCCCTAGGAGGGTGGGGGGCCCAGCAGGGCTGTCTCGGGGCTGCTGCTGTGCCTTCCTAGGGGCTCTGGGCCCCTTATCCCCACCTGGAATGTACAACTCATCACCTGGCTTCAGACAGGTTTCTGATAAGAACCAAGGAGGTCTAGTGTATGTGCCTCTAAGAACTCTTCTTCTTGGGGAAAATCCTGTCTCCCTCTTAGGCACTTTGCATCTTCTGAGTCTTCTGGCCACTGCACCCTCACACCCTCCCCACCTTGTTCCTGGCACTTACAGGCACGTGGTGCTCCTCCCATGAACAGATGTGCCATGTTTTCATGGCTGACATGTGTATGTATGCAATGACCCACGTAGATTGCCCAAGTGCCAGGGAAGCTTCTAGAGCCACGACACCAGGGTTCAAATCCCAGCCCAACTTCTTTGTGGCTGGGTGATCTAGCTGGACCTGGACAAGTACTGAACCTCTCTGGACCTCAGTTTCCTCATTTGTGCCAGAGGGGAACAGCACCGACATCACAGTATTACCACAGGATTAAATGAATTGTCACACCTGCAAGTCTCAACTGCTGTTATTACATTATCAGGTACAAACACCTCCAGACACCTGCACCTCCCCCACAGGCTCACAGTCATGAGCCATCACATGCTCAGGCAGGCCCAGGGGCCCTTAGGCATGGGGATCTGGGCAGTGGCAGCAGGCTGGGTGAGGGGTACAGCTGGGCTGGCAGCAGATTTGCAGGTTGGGGTCCTCACCCCGGGCCACCTGGCTGGGGCCGAAGGTCACAGAAGCATCTAACTGGGCCTTGAGCAGCTGAAGCTGCTTCATGGCCTGCAGCACCTCTGGGGTGGCCTTAGCCACACCTCCCAGCAGGTTGTAGTTTTCACCAGGGTCCTCGGACAGGTCGTAGAGCAGCGGGGGCTCATGAGCTGTCAGAGAGCTGGAGGCATGGCAGGCAGGGTCTGGAGTGGTCTCACTGTGGGCAGAGCCTGGGGAGGGGGCCAATTCTGAGCACAGGCAAGAACGTGAGAAGAGGCCAGGGATCTGGGGCTCCTGGGAGGGGTCTGCAGGTCAGGGGAAGGGATCCATGGGGAGGGAGTTACCCTGGGTGAAGAAGTGAGCTTTGTATTTTCCACTCCGCACAGCAAAAACCCCACGGACCTCGTCTGGGTAGGACGGGTAGAAGAAGAGAGACTGCCGAGGGCTCTGGGGACAGAGTCAGGGGTCACATAGTGGGACAGGCCCTGAGCATCACATATACCCAGAGCTGCAAGACCTGGTGTGAGGCCCTGGAAGTGGACCACTTCTCACCCACCCAAGAACCTGAAAAGTACCACCACTTGGATGCCACTCAACGCAGGAAGCGCTGAGGCATGGACTCTCAGGCACTGCCCACACTCACCCCAGGACAGGGGCCGAGGAGCCGGGATCAGGGGTCACTGGTCTTACCTTGCCTGTGCCCAGCAGCAGGGGGCTGAGGTCAAAGCCATCCAAGGTGACATTGGGCAGTGGGGCCCCAGCCAGGGCTGCCAGGGTAGGCAGCAGGTCCAAGGAGCTGGATAGCTCGTGGGTCACGCCTGGGGGCAGGAGGCTGTTCAGTCAGTCAGTTCACCATCAAGGTTGGGATGGTAGGGCCAGGGTTCCAAAGGAGAAGGCCTGCGGACTGACCAGGAGTGATGTGACCTGGCCAGAAGGCCAAGGCAGGCTCTCGGACACCCCCCTCGTAGGTCGTCCCCTTTCCACACCTCAGGAGGCCAGAGCAGCCACCTCGGGACATGCGCATCGTCTCAGGTCTGGACACAGGAGGAGATCATGAGCCATGGAGCCACAGCCTCTGAGCCACCAAAGGTGACCAGTGGCCCCACATCTCTAAGTCACAAAACTTGCCCAGAAGTGCCCAGCATGAGCCTGGGGCCTCCCAGGCCTACCAAAACCAGTTCTTTGTGTACTTGTGTCTCCTGACGCACCGTAGGTCCCAGCAATGTGGCCAGCATCTCCTGACACCACCTTAACCACTATGTTCTTGAACTGCAAGGCACTTGGGGTCCTGGCCTGAGACAGGTGGGAGCACTCCGCCACCCTGCTGGCATACCCGTTGTCTGCCGTGAAGATGACCAGCGTCTCTTCAAGCAGTCCCAGGTCCCCTATGGCTGTCATCAGGGCCCCCACAGCTGCATCCAGCTCCATCAGGGAGTCCCCAAATGGCCCTCGGCCTGAACGCTCTGCAAAGCTCTGCCCACTGAACTGAGGGTAGTGGGTGTGCTGGGGGCAAAGACTGGAGTTAGCACTGGATAGGGGTCATGGGCAGCCGGAAGGTGGGGCCAAGATCACTTACGTGAGAGGCATAGTACAGGAAGAAGGGGCGATTCTGGCGCTGGGCGTCAGCCATGAGGTCACGGGCGAATGCGATGTAGCGGGCCTCTAGTCCAGGCAGCCAGGGGGGCTGTGCCTCCACTGACAGGTTGGCCAACAGTGGGATGGGGACCAGGCCCTGGTCACAGCCGCCATCACAGGGTGTATCCGGGGGGAAGCAGGTCAGGTTCTGGCAGGGGCCCTGAGGGGGGCAGCTCCAGTGAGGGCTGGGCTGGCAGATGGGGCCGAGGGAGCATCAAGGGCTGGGGACTTTGGGAGGTGGGTGGGTAGCTGAGGGTCCTGGGGGTTCCTACCTGGTCGTGGGAGTATGGAATGCCTAGAAATCGATGGAAGCCCTGATGTGGGGGCAGGAAAGCCCCCTCAGGCCCCACCCCAAGGTGCCACTTGCCAGCCATTCCTGTGAGGTAACCTTGGGCAGCCAGGATCTCGGCCAGGGTCACCTCCTCCAGGGGCAGGCCCCCCCGGGAGCTGGGCACCAGGACTCCAGGGTACATGCCCATCCGAACCGGAAGCCGGCCGGTCAGGAGGGCGGCCCTGCAGGACAAGTCAGACAGAAATGTGGCCAGAGAGAGAGAGAGAGAGAAAGAGAGAGGGAGAGAGAGGAGAGAGAGAGAGAGAGGTTTTTCCCTCCCTCCTGCAATCCATTGCACATCTGGGAGAAACCAGATGGAGGGCGAGGAAGGCGCCCCTTCCTTACCGAGAGGGTGTGCACAGAGACACAGGCACGTAGAAGTCTGTGAACCGCAGCCCCCCTGCTGCCAGCTGGTCCAGGTTGGGGGTGGTAGAGCTGGGGTGCCCATAGCAGCCCAAATCCCCATAGCCGAGGTCGTCAGCAAAGATCAGCACGATGTTGGGTGGGCGAGCAGCGGCCAGCCCAGCAGCCAGGACCAGGAGGAGGGTCCGCGGTGCCCCCATGGACACGGGACCTGTCCCGAGGGGTCTGTCCCAAGAGAGGAAAGGCCCCTTGGCTCCAGCAAGCTCTTTCCGAGACCCCAGACCCAGACACCGCCCTCCCCTGGGGTCCCAGACCCCAATACTCCCCGACCCTGACGGCCGCTCCCTCAAGTTCCGGAGGACCGGGGCCGGACAGGGGCAGGAGACCCTGGGCTGGGATGTAACTGCCCAAGACCCTCCTCCAGGACCGGGACGCCTCCAGATTCTCGAGCGGAGATTCGATCGTCTTCCGCTAGCGGTCCGGGCTCAGGGTCGGGGCATAAGTCACCCGACGCTGAGCAGTGGAGTCGGGGCAGGGGCTGGCGCGGCTCGGGGCCCAGGAGGGGCGGGGCCCGGGCTGCGGGCGCTTTCGTCTCGGCCCCGCCCCGTGACCCGCGGTTCTCGCGAGGCGGGGCGGGGCGCGGCCCGGGGTGAGGGGCGTGGCCGCGCATGCTCACTCCGAGCCCGCGGTTTGCGCTGTGAGGTGGTTTTGCCGGGGGCTGCGACGGGTTCCGGGCGCTTCTGCGCGGTCGGCTCCGGCCTAGGCGTCCCGGGCTGCGCGGGGCTCGGCGCTGCGCGTTGTCCGGTGGCGTCTCGGTCCGGATCTTCTCCAGAGGAGGAGCGGCGCGCCCCAGACCTGCGCTCCTGGGAGACTCGGGGCCCCCTTTGAGAGACCTGAGCGCGGACAGAAATGGCCACCCGGTGAATGAGCAAAGCGCAAGGAAAACCGTGCGGGCCCAAGGACTTGCAAGAGCCCTTTCTCCTCGTAGGTGTGTCTGTGCGTGTGAGCTGCGGTGTGGGTGCGGGGGCTTGTGTGTGGCGTTGGAGGGGTGCGTGTGGCGTTGGAGGGGGGCGTGTCGTTCGAGGGGGGTGTCTGTCGTTCGAGGGGTGTGTGTGGCATTGGAGGGGTGTGTGTGGCATTGGAGGGGGGCGTGTGGCGTTGGAGGGGGGTGTGTGGCGTTGGAGGGGGGCGTGTCGTTCGAGGGGTGTGTGTGGCATTGGAGGGGTGTGTGTGGCATTGGAGGGGTGCGTGTGGCGTTGGAGGGGGGCGTGTCGTTCGAGGGGTGTGTGTGGCATTGGAGGGGTGTGTGTGGCGTTGGAGGGGGGGCGTGTCGTTCGAGGGGGGTGTCTGTCGTTCGAGGGGTGTGTGTGGCGTTGGAGGGGGGCGTGTGGCGTTGGAGGGGGGCGTGTCGTTCGAGGGGTGTGTGTGGCATTGGAGGGGTGCGTGTGGCGTTGGAGGGGGGCGTGTCGTTCGAGGGGTGTGTGTGGCATTGGAGGGGTGTGTGTGGCGTTGGAGGGGGGCGTGTCGTTCGAGGGGTGTGTGTGGCGTTGGAGGGGTGCGTGTGGCGTTGGAGGGGGGCGTGTCGTTCGAGGGGGGTGTCTGTCGTTCGAGGGGTGTGTGTGGCATTGGAGGGGTGTGTGTGGCATTGGAGGGGTGTGTGTGGCGTTGGAGGGGGGCGTGTCGTTCGAGGGGTGTGTGTGGCGTTGGAGGGGGGCGTGTGGCGTTGGAGGGGGGTGTGGCGTTGGAGGGGTGTGTGTGGCATTGGAGGGGTGTGTGTGGCGTTGGAGGGGTGTGTGTGGCGTTGGAGGGGGGCGTGTCGTTCGAGGGGGGTGTCTGTCGTTCGAGGGGTGTGTGTGGCATTGGAGGGGTGTGTGTGGCATTGGAGGGGTGTGTGTGGCATTGGAGGGGTGTGTGTGGCGTTGGAGGGGGGCGTGTCGTTCGAGGGGGGTGTCTGTCGTTCGAGGGGTGTGTGTGGCGTTGGAGGGGGGGCGTGTGGCGTTGGAGGGGGGTGTGTGGCGTTGGAGGGGGGTGTGGCGTTGGAGGGGGGTGTGGCGTTGGAGGGGGGTGTGTGGCATTGGAGGGGTGTGTGTGGCGTTGGAGGGGTGTGTGTGGCGTTGGAGGGGGGCGTGTCGTTCGAGGGGGGTGTCTGTCGTTCGAGGGGTGTGTGTGGCGTTGGAGGGGGGCGTGTGGCGTTGGAGGGGGGTGTGTGGCGTTGGAGGGGGGTGTGGCGTTGGAGGGGGGCGTGTGGCGTTGGAGGGGCGTGTGGCGTTGGAGGGGGGTGCGTGGCGTTGGAGGGGGGGTGTGGCGTTGGAGGGGGGTGCGTGGCGTTGGAGGGGGGTGTGGCGTTGGAGGGGTGGTGTGGCGTTGGAGGGGGGCGTGTGGCGTTGGAGGGGCGTGTGGCGTTGGAGGGGGGTGCGTGGCGTTGGAGGGGGGTGCGTGGCGTTGGAGGGGGGTGTGGCGTTGGAGGGGTGTGTGGCGTTGGAGGGGTGGTGTGGCGTTGGAGGGGGGCGTGTGGCGTTGGAGGGGGGGGGTGTGGCGTTGGAGGGGGGTGCGTGGCGTTGGAGGGGGGTGTGGCGTTGGAGGGGTGTGTGGCGTTGGAGGGGTGGTGTGGCGTTGGAGGGGGGCGTGTGGCGTTGGAGGGGGGGTGGCGTTCGAGGGGTGTGTGGCGTTCGAAGGGGGTGTGGCGTTCGAGGGGTGTGTGCGGGGTTCGAGGGGTGTGTGCGGGGTTCGAGGGGTGTGTGCGGGGTTCGAGGGGTGTGTGCGGGGTTCGAGGGGTGTGTGTTGGCTTTTGAGGTGTGTGGCGTTTGAGGGGTATATAATGTTTGAGGTGTGTGTGTGGTGGTTGAGGTGTGTGTGGGGTGTATGTGGTGTTTGAGAGGTATATTTAGGTGGTATTTGAGGGGTGTGTGTGTAGTATTAGAGGTGTGGTATGCGTGTGTTTGCAGTGGCTGTGTGTGTGTCTAGTGTTTAAGGTAGGGTGTGTGTGTGGTGTGTGTGTGTGGTGGTTGAGGCATGCTGTGGTGTGGAATGTGTGTCTGGGGTCCAGTCTGGCCTGTCTCAGGGTTACGCTGCTGGGGAAAAACTCCTCTGAAGGCAACATGATTGGGCCCTCGCTCCCTCATTGGACAGCCTTGGACTTAACCTTTTTGATCTTGAAGGAAACCAAAATATGTCACCTTAAAATATATCTCCTTGACATGGCTGAAGACAGTTACTCAGAAGGACTGGAAATAGAATAGCTAAAAAGCTGTCTTTTGTGGGGGAGATTTGCATCTGTGGAGAGAATCTACTGATGAGGCTAGGCCTTCTCTGAGGCCCTCCCTTGCCTGATGCAGAAGAGTAAGAGAGTCTGACACCTTTAAAGGTCTGAAGGGAACGTTCACCGTCTATTGTCTCTGAGGGCTGCTACCTGTGAGGTTTCATCTATAGAACAAGGCCACCTTTGCTAGCCAGGCCCCCGTCCTCTCCCTCCTGTAACTGGTCTTGCTGCTGTAACCTGATTTTCCACCATAACCTGTTTATGGCCATGCTTTGAGTCCCCGTTCTTTCTGTAACCTCAAGATGGTATATAAGCTTCTGAATCCCATTGGGAGGTTGGGGTCATCACTCTGGTTCTCACTGTGTGTGTGAATAAACCTGTATGCCTCTTGTCTTATTAATCTGGCTTTTGTCAGTTGATTTTCTGTGAACTCTCCACGTGCACACGGTTTTCTCTAGGCTCCTACAATTTTGGTGTAGTCAGTAGGATAACTAAAGTCACTCTACTGGGAGCCTCCGTCAAGGGAACCCAGGATCTGACAAGCTGACAGAAGGGTAAGAAAGTTTTAGCAGCTAGGCTCCTGGCCTCTCTGTGGAATCTTGTCAAACCAATGGTAAAAATCACTGTTTATCTTGTTTTCCTCTTCTAAGTCTTTTTTTTTTTTTTGAGATGGGCTTTCATTCTTGTTGCCCAGGTTGGAGTGTAATGGCATGATCTTGGCTCACTGCAACCTCCACCTCCCAGGTTCAGGTTTCCTGCCTCAGCCTCCCAAGTAGCTGGGATTAAAGGCATATACCACCACATTGGACTCATTTTTTGTATTTTTAGTAGAGACAGGGTTTCTCCATGTTGGTCAGGCTGGTCTCAAACTCCAGACCTCAGGTCACCTGCCCGCCTTGGCCTCCTGAAGTGCTGGGATTACAGGCATGAGCCACCGTGTCCAGCTCCTCTTCAAAGTCTTAATGAGACAAATGTATTCATATTGTTTGATCGCTTTTTTTCCCAGAAATGGTTATCCTTCATCCTTGTCTTTCTGTGTTATTCTGTCATAAAGAGGGGTGTCCATAGGGTAGAACACAGGCCTAAAACCCCTCAAGCCCAGGGTTCGAGCCGGCCCTGCAGGCTAGTCAGTTTTGCAGCTCTGATCAGATGCGTCTAGTTAGACAAACTTTGCTGTGGGTCCCTGAAATGAAAACTGGTTAAGATTCTCCCTCCTTGAAAGCTTGAGTTGTGACCAAGTGGGGGTGATGCAGGGCAGGCAAACCCCAAAGTGGAGCTTAGTCCGGGAGGGTTCTTGGCTTTGCGCAGGAAAGAATTCAAAGACAAGCCAGAGGTAGAAGAAAGCAGCTCTATCGAATAGGTGGTGTTACAGCTCTGTGACTGCTCCTGCAGAGCAGGGCCACCCCGTAGGCGGAGAGCAGTTGTGCGGTCACATTTATACCCACTTTTGATTGCACGAAGATTAAAGGATGGTTTATGCAGAAATTTCTAGGGAAGGAGTAGTAATCATGGGGTCATTGCCATGGAAAGGGGTGGTAACTCCTGGGTGTTACCATGGCAATGGTAAGCTGACGTGGCACAGTGGTGGGCATATCTGATTGAAACCTGCTTTTGCCCCAACCCTATTTTAGTCCTCAACCTGGTCAACTGTCCAAGCCCCACCTCTGGAGTCGAGTCCTGCCTCCTCCCTCAGGAACACTCTCTCGGTCTCTGCCATTCAGAGGCAGTGATTGGCAGATCACATCCTGTGGTCAGTCTGAAAATGGTTGGGAACCCAAGACAGGTAAGATTTTAAGCAGCACAGTTTTTGTTCTGAATGTGTCAAGCTCTGTTTGTCTTAAGAAGTCCCTGCCAGGTGAGGTGTCAGAGCCTCAGCATTGGGAAGTGGTCAACTTTCGGGTTGGTACAAAGAGTTTACTGACAACAGTATAGGTTTGAAAAAGGAAAGTTTGGCTGGGCATTTTGGCTCTTGCAGCTCCCACTTTGGGAGGCCAAGGTGGGTGAATCACCTGAGGTCAGGAGTTTGAGATCAGCTTAGCCAACGTGGAGAAACCCTATCTCTACTGAAATACAAAAATTAGCCAGGTGTGGTGGCATGTGCCTGGGATCCCAGCTACTCAGGCGGCAGGAGAATTGCTTGAACTTAGGAGTTGGAGGGTGCTGGCCGGGCGTGGTGGCTTACGCCTGTAATCCAAGCACTTTGGAGGCCAAGGCGGGCAGATCACCCGAGATAGGGAGTTCAAGGAGTTGGAGGGTGCAGTGAACTGAGACAGAGCAAGACTCTGTCTCGGAAAAAAAAAAAAAGTTTGCTAGGCACAGTGGCTCACACCTGTAATCCCAGCAGTTTGGGAGTCTGAGGTGGGTGGATCACCTGAGGTCAGGAGTTCAAGACAAGCTTGGCCAACATGATGAAACCCCCTCTCTACTAAAAATACAAAAAAAAAAAAATTAGCTGGGCATGGTGGTGGGAGACTGTAATCCCAGCTACTTGGGAGGCTGAGGCAGGAGAATCGCTTGAACCTGGGAGGCGAAGGTTGCAGTGAGCTGAGATTGTGCCATTGCACTCCAGCCTGGGCAACAAGAGTGAAACTCCGTCTGGGGGAGGGAACAAAGTTTAGCAAGAGCACTACAGAAGAGTGCAGTGGGGTGCCTCATCAAGAGGACTGAGCATGCTGGGTGGATTTTTACTTAGGGGTATTTATAGACCTTAAAGAGGGGGCATAACAGTAATTTGGACCATATTAGCCGTGTAGGTCATGATAAACGATGACATTTGTAGTAATTTTGCTGCCTTAATGTCAGCAATGGTTGCACAATGAGTTTCGGCATGGCATTCCAGAGATGTATAGAAATTCTAGTTATTTAAAAATTTTTGGGGGGAAAAGAAATCCGGAACCAGATGCCTGCTTTAGATAACAGGGAAGTCTAGACACTTCTAATTTTCCCCGGATAAGGAGTTTTGCCTCTGATGTCCTGTTTAATGGCTGCCAGGTGGTCTTTGCTCACTCCTAAATTCCTCAGATAAGGAGTTTTTGTGTCTGGGGCCTGTTAAATGGTCACCAGGTGATTTTCACTCTCCTCAGTCCCATCCATAAAGGGCTTTTGTTGTCTTAATCCTTGTTGCCTGGTCAGTCCTCAGAAAGTCCAATCCCAGCAGGGCCTACCCTGTGTCACAGGTTAATGAGTCTGTGACTGGCAGCCCCCTACAAATCTGTGGGTTACTGGAGGCACTGTATGTATAAACACCATCCTTAACTGTCTCTGGCAACAAGGGTCTTTTGCTATCTTTGCCTTTTCCTGGGAGTGAATTTTGGGGGCATCATTGGATCTGCCTCTTTTGTGTCCTCTCTAAATCTGGGAAATTGCCTTTTGGGCTTTCCACGAAGAGGCTTATTGCATTGAGTTGCTACTGGAATAAATACATCATTGGAAATTCTGATTGTCAGTAGCCAAAAGATGAATCCTTTAAATTAGAAAGATCCCTAAATTAAAAAAAAATAAAAAGATTTTAGAGGTCTGTTATTCTAAACAAATGCCTTATTTGTATTTGTGGGAAAATTGAAGGAAAGACACATAATGGTGTCGTGGCTAGCCTTAGAAACCCTCTTCACAAAATTAAAGAGCAAAAATCTGACTTACAACAAGTTAAAACCCTTTATATGCTCAAACCGCTTGCTTTGGATCTTTGCAGGATTCACAATGAAGACTGCTCCATCCTGGAAACTACTTAAAATTCTGTAGTTTCATTACCATGGCCTGAGTTCAATTCCCAATAGAGGAACCAGTCCCTTTTGGTGATATTTGTGTGACTTTTGACTTACTTTTTTTTTTTCCCCAAGATGGAGTCTTGTTCTGTTGCCAGGCTGGAGTGCAGTGGCATGATCTTGGCTCACTGCAACCTCTGTCTCCTGGATTTAAGCAATTCTGCCTCAGCCTCCAGAGTAGCTTGGATTACAGGCATGCGCAACTATGCCCGGATAATTTTTGTGTGTGTGTTTGTGTTTTTAGTAGAGACGGATTTCACCATGTTGAACAGGCTGGTCTCAAACTCCTGACCTCATGATCTGCCTGCCTTAACCTCCCAAAGTGTTGGGATTACAGGCATGAGCCACTGCACCTGGCTGACTTTTGACTTTCTGGGGTACTCCTTTCCCCTTCCATGGACAGCTTTGATTTCCTTCCTTTTAACTGTTTTTGGGGTGGTTCTGGGTGTTGTAAGGACTGCTTTGTGCCTCTTTGAAGATGCCTGTGTGTCCTTGTTAAGTCTATAACTTTGGTTAAGGCCTATTGGTTTTGGTGAGTCAGTTGGGAGAGTACCTTTGGTTAAAAAAAAAAAAAAAAGCTCAAAAGCCATGGATATCAGCTGTTTGTCTCAGCTAAAATATCATAAGATATTTGAAAGGAATTTTTTTTTTAAAGACAGAGTTTTGCTCTTGTTCCCTGGGCTGGAGTGCAATGGCGTGATCTTGGCTCACCACAACCTCCACCTCCTGGGTTCAAGCAATGCTCCTCCCTCTGCCTCCTGAGTAGCTGGGATTATAGGCATGCATATTCGTTTTATTTGGTATGTAAACATTATACAGAAAGCATGGTCAAATAAGAAATAATGTTTAACTTTCCAGGTTGGAGTACAATGGCATCATCTCTGCTTACTGCAACCTCCGCCTCCCGGGTTCAAGTGATTCTCCTGCCTCAGCCTCCTGGGTAGCTGGGATTACAGGTATGCGCCACCGTGCCCAGCTTATTTTTTGCATTTTTAGTAGAGACGGTATTTCTCCATGTTGGTCAGGCTGGCCTGGAACTCCTGACCTCAGGTGCTCTGCCTGCCTCGGCCTCCCGAAGTGCTGGGATTACAGGCGTGAACCAACGTACTCGGCAACTTTCTTTGAGTTCTATTTGAATAAAGGTGTTATTAATGTGTTCCAAAATGTTATTAAATTCCTAAAATTCTGCTGTATCTTGCTATAAGTCATAAGTATTATGTTAAATTGTTGTATGTCACACAAAAAAACAAATTTCCTTGTCAATTTCATCTTTAACTATCATTATTCCAAGTCATCTGTCTCCCACAGTCAAGTATTGTTTTACTTTGATTCTTTTTAAAAAGCAGCTCGTAATTAACTACAGTTCAAGACTTGCTTCTCCCTCGAGGAAAGTCATGTGAAGTACCCTGACAAGTACTTTTGAATACAGGTTTCTGGTAACTTTGGAGATCATACCACTGGACTAGGTAAAAAAAACTTTCCAGGACTCTAATAAAAACACACACAAACACTGATGGGTTCATGACGACTGACAACCTAGCATGAAGCAGAACAAGAGTTAATCACATGGACTGAACTGACACAGCACTAAAATTATCATAATTAATATTTGAGATGGAGTCTCACTCTGTTGCCCAGGCTGGAGTGCAGTGGTGCTATCTTTGGCTCACTGCAACCTCTGCCCCCTGGGTTGGAGCAATTCTCCTGCCTCAGTTTCCCAAGTAGCTGGGATTACAGGTGTGTGTGCCACCATGCCTGACTAATTTCTGTATTTTTAGTAGAGATAGGGTTTTGCCATGTTGGCCAGGCTGGTCTTCAACTCCTGACCTTAGGTGATCCTCTTACCTTGGACTCCCAGAGTGTTGGGATTACAGGCATGAGCCACTGTGCCTGGCCTGAAATAAATTTTTTTATGACTTTGTTTGAAGCATTGTTGATTTTTTTTTCCTTCTTTTGAGATGAAGTCTCACTCTGTCGCCCAGGCTGGAGTGCAGTAATGTGGTCTGGGCTGACTGCAACCTCCACCTCCTGGGTTTAAGTGATTCTCCTGCCTTAGCCTCCCGAGTAGCTGAGATTACTGGTGTGCACCACCACACCTGGCTAATTTTTGTATTTTTAGTAGATACAGCATTTTGCTCTGTTGACCAGGCTGGTCTGGAACTCCTGACCTTGTGATCTGCCCGTCTTGGCCTCCCAAAGTGTTGGGATTCCAGGTGTGAGCCACTGCACCTGGCCTGTTGATTCTTTTTATGGTTTGTTTTCCAGAGTCAAGAAAACATTTTTTCTCTTAAGCTGTTATAGCTTATAGCAATTGGGTAAATTAAACTTTTGTGAGCAAAATGGAAACATTTACCTTTCTTTTTACCTGATTTCTCCGAATTCAGGAACTATTTGTGAGTTTTTCTGTTTTGTGGCAATATAGTTATTTTCATAAGTTCAAAAAGCATCTGTTTTCTGGCTGGGTGTGGGGGCTCATGCCTGTAATACTAGCACTTTGGGAGGCTGAGATTGGAGGATTGCTTGAGCATGGGAGTTTAAGACCAGCCTGGGCAACATAGTGAGACCCCATCTATATTTTAAAAAAATTTTTTAAAAGGCCAGGTGTGGTGGCCCATGCCTGTAATCCCAGCACTTTGGGAGGCCAAAGTGGGTGGATCACCAGAGGTCAGGGGTTCAAGACCAGCCTGGCCAACATGGTGAAACCCCATCTCTACTAAAAAAATACAAAAATTAGCTGGGCGCAGTAGCAGGCACCTGTAATCCCAGCTACTCAGGAGGCTGAGGCAGGAGAATCTCTTGAACCTAGGAGGTGGAGATTGTAGTGAGCCACTGCACTCCAGCCTGAGCAACAGAGCGAGACTCTGTCTCTAAAAAAAAAAAAAAAAAAGAGTCTGAGATTCCTTTTTTAAAAACATTTTATTTATTATATTTTAAGTTCTGGGATACATGTGCAGATCATGCAGGTTTGTTACATAGGTATACACGTGCCATGGTGGTGGTTTGCTGCATCCATTTCCCCATCATCTATATTAGGTATTTCTCCTAATGCTATCCCTCCCCAATACCCCCACCCCCTGCTATTCCTCCCCTAGCACCCCGCTCCTCAGTCCCCAGTGTGTGATGTTCCCCTCCCTGTGTCCATGTGTTCTCATTGTTCAACACCCACTTGTGAGTGAGAACATGCGGTGTTTGGTTTTTCTCTTCTTGTATCAGTTTGCTGAGAATGATGGTGGTTTCCGGTTTCATCCATGCCCCTGCAAAGGAAATGAACTCATCCTTTTTATGGGTGCATAGTATTCCATGGTGTATATGTGCCACATTTTCTTTATCCAGTCTATCATTGATGGGCATTTGGGTTGGTTCCAAGTCTTTGCTATTGTGAACAGCGCCATAATAAACTCAGATTCCTTATGAAAAAGTTCTGGCAAAGCCAACTTTAAAAGATCCTGTATGGCCAGTCACTATTCTCACTGTACTTTATGCAAATAATCAGGCCAATTATAATAAGACTAAAACTTATTTTGCAAATCTTTTGGTCTGACTATAATTTATCTTGTGGAAAAGGGGGACTTAGGGAGAAAAATTGTGTTTTAGAAGAAAACTATAGTACACCTGTGATTGGATTCTGAACTGATTGTTGTTTGTGAGTTGTTATCATTTGCCTATAGTTTGGACTGAATCCTGCTTTCTTTCCTAGCTCCAGGTCTCTAAACTAATACTGTCAAATTTTTCTCCCATTTTTCTGATTTAAAACCATTGGAAATTAAAACAGCTTTTCTTGAAGCCCTGCAGCTGAATCTAGAGGACTTAAAAACTTAAGGAGAAATCATCACAGGAACTTATATATAAACAGCCTTTGTTCCTGTTGATATATGGACTACTTAGAAAGTTCACTTGAACACCCCGTTAGAGCTATGATCCAGGAAAATCTGTCAAATTGCCATTGCAATCTGAAATGCTCCAGATGCTTTGGATTGAGGCAGGCTGTAAAAGCTACTCTACGGATGATTCCAGATATTCGCCTTTTTTTTTTTTCCTTCTGTTTCCATAGAATTGTCTCTTGTTAAAGATCTGTTTGTGTGAATTATATACAAAGCCCCAGCCCGTCTGTAGTGCCACAGCTTGGAATGGGACACAGCTGTTTAACTGAGCTGATCTAGTCTCAGGACTAAGAGACTGATTCAAGAAAATACAGCATGATACACCTATGTTTTTTTAGAGAGACAGGGTCTCACTCAGTTACCCAGGAAGTGGCACGATCACAGCTCTCTGCAGCGTTGACTTCCCAGGCCCAGGTCATCCTTCTGCATCAGCCTCCCAAGTAGCTGGAACCACAGGCACATACCATGCCTGGCTAATTTTTTTATTTTTTGTAGCAATAGGGTCTCCTTGTGTTGACCAGGCTGGTCTGAACACCAGGGCTCAAGTGATCCTCCTGCTTCAGCCTCCCAAAGTGCTGAGATTACAGCTGTGAGCCACAGTGCCCTACCAGGATGACATTTAAATTTGTCCTTTTCTGTTTATCTCGATTCGTTTTTCCCCACCTTTGCCTATCTCTCATCTAACAATCTCTAACTCAAATCTCTTCAAAGCTATCAACTTTCCTTTTCCTATGGGAAACTTTCTGAAAGTAAAGTCTCAAAGTGGGGACTGAAGAAAACCAAAATATTTTGCCCCAAAATGTATTTCCATGACCAGGCGTCACACCCGTAATCCCAGCACTCTGGGAGGCTGTGGTGGGCAGATCACCTGAGGCCAGGAGTTCAAGACCATCCTGGTCAACATGATGAGACCCTGTCTATACCAAAAATACAAAAATTAGCCAGTCATGATGGTGCACACTTGTATTCCCAGCTACACAGGAGGCTGAGGCAGGAGAATCGCTTCAACCCAGGAGGCAGAGGTTGCAGTGAGCTGAGATTGTACCACTGCACTCCAGCCTGGGCAACAGAGTGAGACCCTGCCTCAAACAAAAAAGTATTTCCTTGACATGGCTCAAGACAGTTACTCAGAAGGACTGGAAATAGAGTAGCTAGAAAAGCTGTCTTTTGTGGGGGAGATTTGTATCTGTGGAGAGAATCTACTGATGAGGCTAGGCCTTCTCTGAGGCCCTCCCTTGCCTGATGCAGAAGAGTAACAGTCTGACTCCTTTAAAGGTCTGAAGGGAACGTTCACCGTCTATTGTCTCTGAGGGCTGCTACCTGTGAGGTTTCATCTATAGAACAAGGCCACCTTTGCTAGCCAGGCCCCCATCCTCTCCCTCCTGTAACTGGTCTTGCTGCTGTAACCTGATTTTCCACCATAACCTGTTTATGGCCATGCTTTGAGTCCCCGTTCTTTCTGTAACCTCAAGATGGTATATAAGCTTCTGAATCCCATTGGGAGGTTGGGGTCATCACTCTGGTTCTCACTGTGTGTGTGAATAAACCTGTATGCCTCTTGTCTTATTAATCTGGCTTTTGTCAGTTGATTTTCTGTGAATCTTTAGAGAGCAGAGGGGAAGTTTTCTTTCGGCCTCTGCAGTCTCCAGTTTGTTTGTCAAATGGGAATGCCAAACGCACATCTGAATGTTGACCTAAAAGAAATGTTGCTGAGGCAAAATTAACATAAGTAGAGAGTTTATTTGGGCCAAGCTTGAGGATTGCAACCTGGGAGCAGAGATTCAAGTTGCTCTGAATATACATCACGATTGGCAACAGTTACAGTAGTTTTTCAAAGGAAAAGAGGTGGCTAGGTGCAGTGGCTCATGCCTGTAATCCCAGCAGTTTGGGAGGCTGAGGCGGGCTGATCACTTGAGGTCAGGAGTTCAAGACCAGCCTGGCCAACATGGCAAAACCCTGTCTCTACTAAGAATACAAAAATTAGCCGGGCCTGGTGGCTTGTATCTGGTAATCTCAGCTACTTGGGAGGCTGAGGCAGGAGGATTGCTTGAACCTGGGAGATGGAGGTTGCCGTGCGCCGAGATTGTGCCATTGCACTCCAGCCTGGACGACAGAGCGAGACTCTGTCTCAAAAACAAAAACAGGCCAGGCACAGTGGCTCACAGCTGTAATCCCAGCAATTTGGGAGGCCGAGGCGGGTGGATAACAAGGTCAAGAGATTGAGACCATCCTGGCCAACATGGTGAAACCCCGTCTCTAGTAAAAAATACAAAAAATTAGCTGGGCATGGTAGCACACCCCTGTAGTCCCAGTTACTCAGGAGGCTGAGGCAGGAGAATTGTTTGAACCCAGGAGGCAGAGGTTGCAGTGAGCAAAGACCGCGCCACTGCACTCCAGCCTGGCACCTGGCGACAGAGTGAGACTCTGTCTCAAAACAAACGAAAGACAAAAATGGGTAACATTGTCTATACATTGTTGTTTTGTTTTTTTTTTTCTGAGACAGAGTCTCATTCTGTTGCCCAGGCTGGAGTGTTCACTGTACCCTCCACCTCAAGCGATTCTTGTGCCTCAGCCTCCTCAGTAGCTGGGATTATAGGCATGAGCTACTGCACTCGGCCTACATTGTTCTTTGTGTCACAAATTCCAAGAACATGGAGATAATGGGTGATGCAGCTGGTCTGGAACAAAGTGTCCTGAAACAATTGTCCCCAGCCGTGTTTGCAGAAGTATGGGATGACTGAGGCCCCATAGTCATCTCTCTCAGCTGCACACCCCAAATAGTTCAGATTCTGCTCTGAGCTACCTCTTTTCTCATCAGTGTGAGAGCGAACCCCAGAAGGGGCTTCAGTGGTATTTTATTCTGTGTGGCTGTGGGCCCCGAGGTTAGTGTAGTAACTGGGCCCTGCCAGGGCATCCCCTCTCCATAGTCCCTGCCCTGCACAGTTCTCCCCAGGACATCTCCCTCAGGGTGGTTCCCCCTAGTGTTACAGAAAAGGGGTCCCAATGCAGACCCCAAGAAAGGGTTCTTGGATCTTGCAGCGCAAGAATGAATTCAGGGCAAGTCTGCAGTGCAAAGTGAAAGCAAGTTTATTAAGAAAGTAAAGTGGGTCAGGTGCCGTGGTTCACACCTGTAATCCCAGCACTTTGGGAAGTTGAGGTGGGTGGGTCACCTGAGGTCGGGAGTTTGAGACCAGCCTAACTTGGAAAAACCCCATCTCTACTAAAAATATAAAATTAGTCGGGCATAGTGGCACATGCCTGTAATCCCAGCTACTGTGGAGACTAAGGCAGGAGAATCACTTGAACCCGGGAGGTGGAGGTTGTAGTGAGAGCAGAGATCATGCCATTGCACTCCAGCTTGGGCAACAAGAGCAAAACTCCGTCTCAACAAAAAAAGGAAAGTAAAATGGTGAAAGGACAGCTGCTGATAGACAGGGTAGGACGTTCCCAAAAGTAACAGGAGGAACGGGACCGCCCTAGGTACAATGCTTGTAAATGTGGGGAGATGTGCTCTGCTACAAGGGTTTGTGATAAAGGATTACTTTTCATAATTACTATATTTTGCAAGAATCGATGATATTATCCTCAGAGCAAAATTAGGAATGCCTTTGTTCTGAAGTCTGGGTCTGTTTAGGAAACATGATTGATTTGTTCCCTGAGCCATAAATATCTAGAGGCTAGGAATGCCTGACTTCCTGAGTCTCAGCCTCATTTTCTTAGCCCGCACTCAAAATGGAGTCGCTCTGGTTGGAACACCTCTGACACTAGGGTGGTTCCCAGGACATCTCCCTCAGAGTGGGTCCTCCTAGGGTGGTTCCCCAGGGCAGCTCCTTGACCTTGGGTTTCCCCACAAGCTCAGGTTGCCCCTCAGGGACACGTGACCTCAGAAAGAGCAGGACCTGGTCTCCTGATGGGGAGTACTTCCCTGGTCACTGACCCTGGAGCCAGTGGGAAGGTGGACAGGGCTCTGGAAGGGCCTCTGGGGACTGGGGTGAGGGTTCAGGACTCGACTTCCACTGAGGCCCAGCTGTGTGTGGCATTTATCTGAGGATACATGGAAGCTCTAAGACAAGAGGCCATGTGGGAGCAAAGTTTGAAGGGCAAGGACTCCCAGAGATGGGGTGGGAAGAGGATGGGCCTGAGGCTGCCGCTGACCTAGTGGGGAGCAGGAGGGGCCAGTCTCTGCCAGCGAGCCCCTGGATGTCACATTCCAGTGTGGTTTCTGCGCCTGTGCATGGCAGGGCTGGGGGGCGGGGGTGTGCTGCTGGCGCTTCCATCTGGAGCCAGAATAGAAAGCTGCTTGGTGGCCCAGAAATCTTTGAACCTGTAATTGGAGCTATCACAGCTGGTCGGCGCTGTGAATTGGAGTTTAAAAAGAAACAATCAAAAGCACTTTCTTCTCTTTCAACTGCAAGCTGGGAACTACCCCAGGATGTGCCCCTTCTTCCAGAGAAGAGCCTGCTTAGGGTTGTAGTGTGATGCAAATGGTGGCACCTTCCCCCTGGTTCTCGAGGCTGCTCAGGTGTGTGCCCACGTGACAGCTGCCTCAGCACAGCCCTGACCTCCCGGCCTGGAGGATGGGAGGCATTTGCTGCCAGCTATGTTTGTTCAAAGCCAAGCTCTGCAGGCCATCCTGCCTTTTGGAGATGTGAGCTCTTTTTCGGCATCGACGGAGCCCCAGTTGAAGGCAGCCTGCTGGGGTTCGGGAAGTGGCCCTGGAAGCCTGGGGCATTGCTAATTTGGGATTAACGCCCACAGTCAGGAGAGGGCCTTGAAATGAGGGGCATGGGTCTTGTCTTTCTGCACCTTGGACAAGGGATGGAAGAAGCCTCTGCATGGGGAAGGTAGGGAGTCGAGCTGCTTCAGCAAGAACATGTGGCATGAGTGGAGGAATTCTGCAGCAGTTCATGAGAGCTGCGGACGAGGGGATCCACCTTGGGCCCCCTGTGTAGCCTTCACCTTCCTCACCCCTGTGGGCCTGCTCCATCCTCATCCCTTCGATAACCACCCTGAGGCTCTATGGTTGGTCCCAACTCCAAAAGGGCTCTGCTGGTCCCAGCCAAGCAGATACATGGCCTGGACAAGGGGGTAGCAGGTACCACATGGGAGGTTCTTGTGGAACCCACTGGAAGGGAGAGGAAGCAGGAGGTTCCCAGAAAGGGGTGCACAGTCTTGAGCATCTGAGAGAGGCATCTACTGCCCACAAAAACTGGCAGATGTGAGGTGGCTGCTGTGTGGCACCGAAAGCTCCTCTGCTTGAGCAGACTGCGGCTCCTAAACCTTCTCCGAAGCCCATCTGTGCACTTCCTGGTAAAATCCAGTTTTAGCAAGGACCTGCCACCCTCAATACCTGATCACCCTTTATGTAACCACCCAGTGGGTTCCCTTTGCCCGCTGCCTGCACAGAGCTGATTTATCAAGACAGGGGAATTGCAATAGAGAAAGAGTAATCACGCAGAGCTAGCTGTATGGGAGACCAGAGTTTTATTACTCAAATCAGTCTCCCTGAGCATTCAGGGAGCGGAGTTTTTAAGGATAATGTGGTGAGTGGGGGAAGCCAGTCAATTGAGAGTGCTGATTGGTTGGGTCGGAGATGAAATCACGGGAAGTTGAAGCTGTCCTCCTATGCTGAGTCAGTTCCTGGGTGGGGGCCACAAGATCAGATGAGCCTGTTTATGGATCTGGGTGGTGCCAGCTGATCCATCAAGTGCAGGGTCTGCAAAATGTCTCAAGCACTGTTCTTAGGAGCAGTTTAGGAGGGTCAGAATCTTGTAGCCTCCAGCTGCATGACTCCTACACCATAATTTCTAATCTTGTGGCTAATTTGTTAGTCTTGTAAAGGCAGACTAGTCTCCTGAGTACTTCCCAAAGTTAGTTCAGCATATGCCTGGAAGGAACAAGGACAGCTTAAAGGTTACAAGCTGGAGTTGGTTAGGTTAGATCTCCTTCACTGCCTCAGTCATAATTTTACAAAGGCGGTTTCCATCTTATCTGGTCAGGTTCCTCACCCTCCACCACCTGCCAGGTGGCGTTGGTCACCCTGTCCTGTCCTCAGAAGAATCCTCTTCACACCTGATGTTTTCCCTTAGTAGTCACATCCCCTGCCCCCACCCTGCTCCTTGGCTGTAAACTCCTGCTTACCCAGGCTATATCTGGGGTTGAGTCCAGTCCCTTTCCAGTGGGCTCTATACCTATGGCAATGGTCCTGAATGAAGTGTGCCTGACTGTGCTGTAACACGTGTCACTGGGTCACTTTTCTCTCTGATGTACTACCCTTTAGCCCTCTGCCCCAGCTGGCTGAGGCCTCCTCCAGCTTCTGGCCACTGAGCTTGCTGTTTTCCCAACCCGGAATCCTGCTCCCTTGACTCCTTCAGGCCACCACTCAAGGAGCCTGGCCCCCAAGCTCTGCCTTCCATTCTTGTGCCCAGGCATGACCTTGTGAAAGGCAAATAAATCTCAGGGCTCCAAAAATCACTAAGCTAAAGGGAAGAGTCCAGCTGGGAACTATGCAGGGCAAACCTGCCTCCCATTCTATTCAAAGTCACACCCCTCTGCTCACTGAGATAGTTGCATATCTGATTGCCTTCTTTGGAGAGGCTAATCAGAAACTCGATAGAATGCAACCACGTGTCTCTTATCTGTCTATGACCTGGAAGTCCCCTCCCTGCTTCGAGTTGTCCTGCCTTTCTGGACAGAACCAGTGTTCATCTCACGTTGACTGATTTCTCGTATCTCCCTACAAGGTATAAAACGAAACTGCTCTGACCACCTTGGGCACATGTCGTCAGGACCTCTGAGGCTGTGTCACAGGTACATGTCCCCAGCCTTGGCAAAATAAACTTTCTAAATTAACTGAGATCAGTCTCAGATATTTGGGGTTCACATTTTGGTAACGACAGAGGGATTCCGAGTGGAGATTCCCCTTTTCTTTGACAAATCTCCTATTAGTGCTTGGTATCAGCATGAGCTAACTTTATGGCTCAAACCAACAGGACAATTTGCTGAGGTCTGGGAGCACCCCCTCCAGAGAATCCCTGGTCTTAAAAAATTTGGTTAAGATCTAAAATTTACATGCTGTACAACTCTCCCCCCGCCCCCGCTTTTTTGTGGCGTTTTTCTTCCAACAGAAAGTCAAGATTCCCTGCTTCCATGATGATGAAAGGCAGTGACTCCTTTAGGGAGTTTGATCTTGCTCCCAGCAGGGAAGATGAGTTCGAGGATTTTCCTGTTTCTAGGACGGTAGAGAGCCGTCTTCAGCCTGAAACCCTTCCCTAGATAAGTAGCCGAATTGGGGTTTTGTCTTGGCTAATGTTTAACCGTCAGCTGGTCTTCATTTTTCCTTACTATTAGACCCCTCAGTGATCATATTGTTGGGGTTTTTGTTACTGTTGTGCTGGTCTTTCTCCCATCAGATTTGACCAACCCAACCTGACTCAGTCAATCTGAGTGAGAGTTCCAAATTGTGGGTAACAAAGCCTGTCTAATTTGGGTAAAATTCCTTGCAGCTGCAAAAGAGGAAAAAGAACAAAAACAACATCAAAGAAAACAAAACAATTAAAAAAAACACAAAACACCATGTCCTTGGTTTCTGTGTTTGTTTCCTGCTTTAAAGAAACAAACGCCTGTAATCCCAGCACTTTGGGAGGCTGAGGCGGGTGGATCACGAGGTCAAGAGATCGAGACCATCCTGATCAACAAAGTGAAACCCTGTCTCTACTAAAAATACAAAAAATTAGCTGGGCACGGCGGTGCGCGCCTGTAGTCCCAGCTACTCAGGAGGCTGAGGCAGGAGAATTACCTGAACCCAGGAGGTGGAGGCTGTGGTGAGCCGATATCGCGCCATTGCACTCCAGCCTGGAGTTTCACAAGATTGAAACTCCGTCTCAAAAAAAAAAAAAAAAAAAAAATGTATTCAGAAAAAAAGAACCACTTACCCCTTTTGGGGTGTTCTGTTGTCTTTGTGGAGTTTCAAGAGTCATAGACCTAAGATTCTTCTTAGGTCTAAAGCTCTGTTTTCCTGTATTGCATGACCCGACCTTTTTGGCTTTGAGGGTACCAGAGATGACCTTGTACTGTGAGAGAATTTTTTTTTCTTTTTTTTTGAGTTGGAGTTTCACTCTTGTTACCCAGGCTGGAGTGCAATGGCAGCGATCTCGGCTCCCCGCAATCTCCGCCTCCTGGGTTCAGGCAGTTCTCCTGCTTCAGCCTCCTGAGTAGCCAGGATTACAGGCACACGCCACCATGCCCAGCTAATTTTTTGTATTTTTAGTAGAGACAGGGTTTCACCATGTTGACCAGGATGGTCTCAATCTCTTGACCTTGTAATCCACCCGCCTCGGCCTCCCAAAGTGCTGAGATTACAGGCGTGAGCTATCGTGCCTGGCCACTGTGAGAGGATTTGACCTTGGCATGTGTGATTATGTACAACAGCTACAAAGTTAGGAGTGGCGGAGCACAGTTTACAGGAAGTAGTCATGGCTGGTTGTTTTTTTTCTCCTAGGAAGCTGTTGTTTAATGATCTTAATTCTAGCTTGGAGATGCATCCTAAAGGGCCTTCTCTATTGCTTTTTCTCCCAAAATTAATCTTGATTTTGCTTGTCTATGTGCATTTGAGTGTGAAACTGAACTGTTGTTCTCATAAGTAGATGAGAGACCAAGTTTTCTCAACTCAGAAGAGAAAGGGCATTTTGCTCCTCCCAGCCGAAAGGTGCCCCTGGGTGACTGGGGGCCGCATGGGAGTGTCTGGGAGGTTGACCCCCATGACGTGCATTGTCCTACAGGGAAATCACCAACAAAAATTTATTTAAAAAAAGGGCTCATCCAGGAAACACATATAAAGTCTGATCACCATGTGTTTTGTGCCCTCTCAGAGGTCGTAGACCTCTAAAGAGAGAAACTGAGACACATAAGAAGGTGGAAACGACTCAGTGGTGACACACTGTGGAGTCCGGCCTGTAAGCAGCACACATTGATTTACCACACAAAAACCCTAGGCCATAGCTTAGTTCCTCGTTTTAAGAAAAAAAGTGGGGGCTGGGTGCAGTGGCTGATGCCTGTAATCTCAGCAGTTTGGGAGGCTGAGGTGGGTGGAACACTTGAGGTCAGGTGTTTGAGGCCAGCTTGGACAACATGGTGAAACCCTGTCTCTACAAAAACAAAACAAAACAAAAACAAAAAATTCAAACAAACAAAAATTAGCTGGGTATGGTGATGCATGCCTGTAGTCTCAGCTGCTTAGGAGGCTGAGGCAGAAGAGTCACTTGAACCCGGGAGGCAGAGGTCACACTGAGCTGAGCTCGTGCCACTGCACTCCAGTCTGGGTCACAGAGTGAGGCTGTGGCTCAAAAAAAAAAAAAAAGTGGAAAACAATCTAAGAATGAGGAGAGAACAAGGAGAACAACCCCCTTTTGAGCACTACTTGCCAGAGTTTATGTAAAGTGGAAGAAATAATGTCTTTGTGCACATGTACATTAAGGGAAAAGAGCTCTAAGGTTGACCTGCAAACTGTTGAGTTCCTAGGTTCTGCCTGCTTTAGAGCTGCTGTTATGTATTTATTTATTTATTTTTGGATACAGAATCTCACTCTGCCACGCAGGCTGAAGTGTAGTGGTGCAATCTCACCTCACTACAACCTGTGCCTCCCGGGTTCAAGTGATTCTCCTGCCTCAGCCTCCCAAGTAGCTGGGATTACAGGCACTCGCCACCACGCCTGGCTAATTTTTGTATTTTTAGTAGAGATGGGGTTTCACCATGTTAGCCAGGCTTGTCTTGAACTCCTGACCACAGGTGATCCACCCGCCTTGGCCTCCCAAAGTGCTGGGATTATAGGTATGAGCCAGTGCACCCAGCCAATTTTTCTTTTTTGTTTTTTGAAATGGAGTTTCTCTCTTGTTACCCAGGCCGGAGTGCAATGGCGCGATCTCGGCTCACCGCAACCTCTGCCTCCTGGGTTCAGGCAATTCTCCTGCCTCAGCCTCCCGAGTAGCTGGGATTACAGGCACGCGCCACCATGCCCAGCTAATTTTTTTTATTTTTAGTAGAGATGGGGTTTCACCATGTTGACCAGGATGGTCTTGATCTCTTGACCTCGTGATCCACCCACCTCGGCCTCCCAAAGTGCTGGGATTACAGGCGTGAGCCACCGTGCCCGGCCTCAATTTTTCTATTAAGATAAAAACCACTGTTTGTATCTAATAGATTTTTCTTTTTTTTTGGCAGGTGAATTCGTATTTATTTCATGGGTAAAGTTCTGAAGTAAGAGCTCCTGTCCTCAAGCAATTCACCTGCCTCGGCCTCCCAAAGTGCTGGGATTAAGGTGTGAGCCACTGTGCCCGGCTTTCATTTTGTTGAGACAGTGTCTTGCCGTGTTGCCCAGGCTGGAGTGCAATGGCACAATCTCAGCTCACTGCAGCCTCGACTTCCTGGCCCCAGGCGATCCAACATCAGCCTCCCAGATAGCTGGGACTGCACAGGTTCGGGCCACCATGCCCAGTTAATTTTTTGTATTTTTAGTAGAGATGGGTTTCGCCATGTTGCCCAGGTTGGTCTTGAACTCCTGGGCTCAAGTCATCTGCCCAGCTCAGCCTCCCAAGGTGCTGGGGCTACAGGCTTGAGCCACCTTGCCCAGCCCAGGAATGCTAATTTCTTCTCAGAAAGAAGTTCTGCCCTGATCACGTTTTTTCCCAGTGCTTTCAGGGAACCAAGCAGAGCTCAGAAGGAAGCTCTTCTAAAGCAGATCTACACCCTGAAGTGGCTGCAGAGAGCAGCCTCCAGAACTGGTGTCTGTTGCAGCTAAGACTTCCACAGTGCAGAGCCTGTGGCAGGTCTGGCCAGGATGGGTGGAGAAGCGGCCATCATTGCACAGTTCCAAGAGCTCAAGGAATGCAA